GCTTTATAAATGTTTTACAAAAACAAATTGGGATATTTTTCTTGCAGGATTTGCGTAAACTTAAGTACATGGACCTATCCAGAACATCTGGATTTGAAGGAAGCTTTTTGAGGTGAATTCATGTTGTCTGAGCAAACATTTATGATGAAATATATTGTTTTTTTTGTTTCTGTTAGCAAAATTTCTTATGGCGGAGGTTTTCTTTCTTATGGTAGGGATGTGAGCCATGACTTCAAAGACGCTCTGATCGAGACTCTAATATTGCGAGATTCCATTTTGCTAACGCAGGTATGAAAAGGAATTTAACATAATTTTTTCTCTTGTTGTTGCATCATCACGCATATTCAGAGAATGGTTTGACTGTTTTTGGATTCGTTACTCACAGCAGGACGTTTGAGATTTATTCGACACATTGTGAGTTCTTAATAAGACATCACTCATAGTTTTTATAAAAATATGCTGGTGACAGGTGATTTTGTTTACTCATGATAAATAGTTTTTTCAATAGGATGTTTCAAATGAATATGGATTACTTTATGGCGGCGAAAGGAGATGTAAAGTACCAAAGGACGTAACTGATTTTTTATTATTATTATTGTTTAGTATTTTGATGCAATAATGGATATATATATATATATATATATACCTAAAAGGAATATAAAAGGACTATTTTCTTTGATGTGGGAACGCATTCCAGCCTGTTGTGAATAGATGTCTCTTTAGTGTATACCAAAGAGATATCTGTTCGCAATCGGTTGAAATGCATTCACAGCAAAAAAATTAGTCCCTAGAGATTATTTTATTTACGTTAGGTATATATACATTTCATTGTTGCATCTCTGTTTTTATACAGTTATACTCGACCGTTTATTTGGCCGTTATCGTGTGTTGTAGGTTTTCTACTTTTCTCTCAAAGAGCTGAAAGTGGAAAGACCACGTCTTACATTTGTGGCAGATTTTCCAACTTCATCATCAAATTAGGAACTGAACTTAGATGATTTGTTTGTGGAATTCTTCCCGACGTTGACAGCGACTTTTGGCTTGTGTTTGATGTTGTCTCTTCTTTCCTCTTTTTTTTTTTATTTTTATTTTTTTTTTTTAATTTTTTATATTTCCTTTTGTTGAAGAAAGAAAATATTAATATGCAGTATTTTTCTGTTTGATCATACATTTGTACTTTTATAATAAGTTTTCAATAAAGATAATTTTGTTTAAGGTTTCATTAATGATAATTTTGTTTGATCTTTGATTTATGTTTGATTTATTTCCTTATCTTTAGTCTACTTTAAAATAACCTATTAATCCACCAAATTAATAACCTACATATATCTGTTTTAAATTATTACTGTTTAGTAAACCAACCAATGTTTTGAATTGTTACCTAACTAATAGCCTAAAATGTAGTTCCTAAAGTTCCAGTAATGGAAACGGAGTCTTGTTTGTAATTAACTTTCTATAAATCTACTTGCACAGTATTTTTAATTAACTTCTTCTATTTCGAGTACTTGGCAACGGAGACTTGTTCCTAAAGTTCGATCATGTTCCTGGTTTGATAAGTGACAATCAGACGATTATATAAGCTAAGTTTTACATCCTCACCAAGTTTTGGAATAGCATACCGATAAAAGGTGAAATAGATTGACGCTTTCTTTGCATAAAACTAGTAATAATAGTGTGAACCTTATTGAGAAAAAAGGGTTTAAGAAAATGGCCAAGGAATAAAGAGAGCGTAATTGTTTTACATCAGGACCGTTAACAAGTTCATCACCAAGAGAAACTGCTTTCTCCTGTCTCATACATTTTTTTTTTTCTTTTTCATCGGCAAATATATATTCTTCGACCAATTTGAAAGTCATGCCAATTCTTTTATTGCAACACAAGGCAATGCCGGCCAAAAACATAGCTTCTATATAAATATATGTCTTTCATTTAGAGATGTGCATTTGCATTGCTTCCTTTAAGAAAGTTAATTACAAACAACTCTCCGTTTCCATTACTGGAACTTTAGGAATTACATTTTAGGAGGCGGAATTACATTTTACACATGATCTACTTACATTATTTGTATATCTTTCTTGGCTAAGCGAGTCAAGAGGCGAAGCTGAGAAGCACAAGCGACAACAACATTTCGAGCATGAGCTTTAAAACATGATCTCGTCGTTAACCTATATCGGAGGCGCAGACAAGGCTGGACCAAGCCAATATGGAGAAGATGAAAATAAGGAGGAAGATGGCATCAGAGTCATCACACTCTCTGGATCGAACCTAGGAGTTAGCCACCATGAAGAATTGAAGACCAAGCTTGACAACAACAATAATCATGGAGGAGACAAGAATGAGCTTGATGATTTCCTTAGCACCTATGTTAATAGCAACTTTCAAGCTATGAACAACTCCATAATGATTCTGGAGGTTTTTGGTTCTAATAACTTGTTGGAATTGTAATTAACAAAATTTTGTGTATCTCTCTCGTCCCAAATTGTGTGGTTTCAGAGTCCTTTACGATCGTATGAATGAATTTAACATTTTCAAATGATTCTAGTTTCTCGTATGGTCTACTTTTACTTACTGAATTGATTAATTCCTTTGGTTTCTTGTTCGGTCGACTTTAGTTACGTAAACTCTGGTTTTAATCTAATAATATAAAGCAAATCATATTATCTTATTGCATATTTTCTTAAGGTTATTCAAATCTGTTTTCATTTCTACGATAAACAACAAGTATATCTCTCTTGATCATTACCGAACTTTTCTCAATTATTCGTTTGAGCAAATGACTTAACTAGTACGCAGGAATTTAAGCTCGAATATATGTTTGCCATAAAAATGATATTGTGAACGTACGGAAATCATCAAGACACGATTGCATGTTTTCATCTACTAAATGGTACTTCGATCAAAAGAACCTAGACATAACAAGACTTTACTATATTATTAAAACGACTTTATTATTATTGAAACGTTGCAGTAAAATATCGTCTTTGGAGCAATTCCGTTCTATGAATTGACAACCAACAAATAATAATATTGGTTTTTAAACTTTAAAATCCATGTTAGTGAGATTATTAAAATGCTCAAATCCTAAATTGTGTGTGTTGAATTCTTTCTCCATAACCCTTTTTCAATTTAGTTAGTTTTTTTTTTTTTTTTTTCTTTTTTCTTGTGCAGCAAGCAACATTTGCTATGTAGCATATATAAATCACATATTTAGAAAATACTTTTTTCCTTGACACTGGATTAGTTATGAATTTGTCAGACATATGTTTCCTTTCTCTCTGTCTCTAACAAGGTTCTTAAGACTATAACTTGATTGATCTATTAGAACAGCGATATCTAATTTCAGGCGATTCTTCTTTGGAGGCTTTTTTTTTTGTCTAGTATCTTGTTTAATTGAATGGTAATCAACAAGATTAGTGTTTCTCTCCTCTATTTTGTAGCAACTTGTTGTCCCTTGTGGATTGTGATTTTGAGATATCTTTGCTATCATCATCGTATGAATGAAGGTTAACATTTTGACATAAATCTGGTTTCTTGTTTAGTCTACTTTGCTTACTGTATTGATTAATTCCTTTTACTTCATATCTCAAAGTCTAAACCTGTGGGATGGAATTCTCCTAATCGTGCAAGTGTTTCGGTACATTCCTCACAAAATTCTCAATACAATCAATGAGAATCTGATTTTATACTCAGTTCAAAGAGCAAAATGATAGAAAATGACTATGGACAAAATGAGTTGACAAGACAGATAAACAAACGATATATAAACTTAAGTACGTCTCAAATTTAAGAACTCTGACGATATGAAGAAGTCTTAATCATCTACAGTACTAGTTTGATGATTTAACGAAATCTAATTGAATTTACAAAATAGTTTTCTCTTTTTTTAAAACACTGGATATATTGATTGAAAAACCGCTGACAAGGGTTTGAAGATGATGACATTAGTCATCTTACAAGACCAGAGAGAACAGCAAAAAAATAAACTTAAGGAAGGACAAAACGTTAAAGAAAGCTCAGTAGAGCGCAGAGGAGCAAAGACCTCGAGGAGCCTCAGACAATGAGGGAGAAGCCAGGCATATCAAACCTATCAGAGCGTACAGCATCATCAGCAATAATATTATGGAGCCACAAAGGGCCATGTCTGGCGATGTAAGATTGGTGCTTATTGAACTCAAAAACACTATTGGCAATAGCATTGGCAGCACGATTGGAGGGGTAAGATGTGTGAAACAGACTCCATAAGGCGAAAGACTGAAGGAGAGTAAAAATCTCATCAATCAGGGGCCGATGCTGGGGAAAGAGATGAGGCTCCATGAGCGCTTTCCTAGCATGTAGCAGGGGAGACCCGAAAGCTATTACTCTAAAATGCATGTTTCTTAGAGATTCAATAGCCCAGTAGAAGCTACGCAATTCAGCCTCAAGCGGAGAAGTTACCATAGCGTAAGATCTTCTGCTATGGAACAATACCATACCTGAATGATCACGAACGAGCCACGAAGCACCACTGTTGAGGCTGCCAGGATGCCAAGAGCACCCAATGTTGCATTTTAGCATGTTCAAGTCAGGTTTGGTCCATTTTGGTCCAGAGCAAATGGTTTTCTCTTTGTAATATATTCTGATTCAAAGCGATATTGGTGTTTTGACTAACTTTATTCTACAATCAATGCACCATATGGTTTTGTCAAACTAAATTTTGACTACCATAATTCCATTGGATATAAAATTGTAGCCATTTAAGTTTTCTTTTTTTTATGTCAACAAATTTATCTATAGATGGCAGCAATTAAAAAAAGTTGACCAGAGCCATTATATATATATAAGTTTAACAATACACTGCTTTTTTTGTATGATTATCTTCCTAAACAGTGTCACGTGAAGTGTCAAAAACTTTATCAGTTTGTACTTTTGTAAAGAGCCAGAAAATATCTTTCCGTTATCAGTTTGTACTTTTGTAAAGAGGCAGGAGATATCTTTCCTTTTCCAACGTTTTCTTATCTGTCATGGTCATGGAGGCTTCTTCGGACCCCAACAAGCGACTATGTCGACTCCCAGTTCCTAGCCTCTCTTCTTCCTCCTCAGGCCAACACCTTGACCCTATCCTTGCCGATGTCGACCAGAAGCACGTCGATCAGATCATCTCCTCGTTCCTCTCCTTGTCCGTGTCGCCTTCCTTCTCCTCGTCCGAAGCCATCGGCTCCTCGTTCGAACGAGCCCTTGAAAAAATGTTCATATATTCTGTTGACGAATCTGTGAATCTGGATCGTGGACTCGAACTCTCCTCGCTTCTTCACGAGTCCACCAAAAGGTGGTATCGTAGACAGGCCACAACCCACAATTCCATAGCATGGCCACTTCCTAGTGAGCTCACGGTTAAGGTAAACAAATCGCAACTTCCTGAGTTATTGAACCTAGAGACCACGTGTTTAATTAGGGCTTTGTTAGGGAATATTGGTGGGAGGATTGAATGATGTTGCGTAGAGGATCTTTAGATTATGTATTGAATGGTGTTCCATAGATCATGTAACCAATTCTTTTTCGCATTTTCCTTTGATGCGTATATTGAATCTATCATAGTATGATGATCTGTGATCTCTTGAATGTATTTGTAATGGATAATTCAGGTCTTTTCCATGGTTGATACAAAATCATTGGTGCAAGCTTCGGCGTGTTGCACCATGTTCAAGAAATGTGCCTTGGACCAAGTTTGTTACTCCAACGTTGACTTGACCACCGCAAATGTTAAAAGTCAAGTTGTGCGTAATATGATCCTTAAGGCTGGAAAGGAACTCAGGTGAGATGTTTTGTCTTCCTTCTTATTGTCCCTCTCTTTTCTTAAACTTCTCCTATGATCTTGGTTTTCTATTTATTATCTCGCATGTCGCTTTAATATCGTTGATGCATGCAGATCTCTTAAAGTTGGATGTCGAGATGAATCTACAGATAACCCTATGCTTATAGGATCTTGTCTTGCCCCTCTATCATATCAAAAGCATGGTGTTCTTGGGTATTGACTCTATTACAGAATTTTGTATGTGACCTTATATGTTCTAATTTGATATCTTGTATTTTATTTTATTTTTCTGTTCAACAAGGAATCTCCTGGGAAGCTTACACCTTTACATTCGCGGATGGTTGGACCGCAAGTACTGCTTACGTGGTCCGTTGTCAGTCTGCTCAAATCTGACCGATTTAAAGATTGTTGGATTGTAAGTTGGCCTTACCTGTTGCATATATACTATACTCCTTGTTTTTTTGAGTTTCATGAATTCTCCATTTCTTTTTTTCCTTTCATCATCTATGCTTTCCATTATTTGTTAATTTGTTACTTTTGCATTTATGATATGCCTAATGGCTACAACAAGTATTTAAATAGCAAAACAAAACCCTAAGAAAATATCCAAAACCCTAAAGAATTAAAGAAAAGGTAAAAATTGGAGAAAAGATAACTAAACATCTCCCCCTCCATCAATGTCTGTAGATTTTAGAACCTACTAGTTCCCCTTGTTCCATGATGATAAGATCTAAGAGTTTACGTGTTCAGTCACCATAAGACAACACCACATATAGAGTGACCTTGGTAAAGCAAAACCCTAAAAGGAGAGAATTTTAGCTCTCAACCTACTATCAAAATGCCTAAACCCTATAAGTCTATTGCTGAGCTTCCAAGTTTTTATACTCCTCACATGCTAGTTACAATAATCATAAGCTAGAGTAACAAGAAAGCTTTGTTACATATTCTCACTTTCTACAATATTTGTGTTTTTCACCGACAGGAATATTGATACACTGCCTGAGGTGGTAAATTCGCTCACAGAAAAATAAATCTGGTAAAATCTTTTCCACTGTGATGCGTTGCTATTTTGTTGTATCATAGCTCCCATGTTTTGCTTACGCTGACCTTAATGTGTGACAGGTCCATGTGCTTCTATAAATGCTTCGCCCTTCCAGAAAAACTGCCCCAATCTTACTTCACTATCACTTATAGGTTTTCACATAACAGACCTAGAAGCCTACATGCTTTTGATGGTATGGCTCTTTTGGTTTCCTGGTGATTCTTCTGGTCTCATTTTTAGGTCTTTACAAAAACATTGGGGTTATTTTTTAATTTTTTTTTTTGCAGGGTTTGCGTAAAGTCAAGTACATGGACCTATCCAAAACATCTGGATTTGAAGGACGCTTTTTGAGGTGAATTCATGTTGTCTCAGCAAACATTTATGATGAAATAATTGTTTTTTTTTTTTTCTGTTTGGGAAATTTCTTATGGCGGAGGTTTTCTTTCTTATGGTAGGGATGTGAGCCATGACTTCAAAGACGCTGTGATCGAGACTCTAATATTGCGAGATTCCATTTTGCTAACGCAGGTAAGTTAAGGAATTGAGCATACAGTTTTCTTCTCTTGTTGTTGCACCGCTCATATTAATGCTTGACCTTTCTAAATCACGGATATTCAGAGAATGGTTTGCCAGTTTTTGGATTCGTTACTCACAGCAGGACGCTTGCGATTCATTCGATACATTGTAAGTTCTTAATAAGACATTACTCTTTGTTTTTGTAAAAATATCATGGTGACAGGTGATCTTATTTACTTCGTGATAAATTTTATCAATATATAGGACGTTTCAAATGAATATGGATTACTTAATGGCGAAAGGAGATGTAAAACACCAAAGTACGTAACTAATTTATTTTCTTATTTTTATGGTTTAGTATTTGATAAACATCAATCATATATAACTCAGGTTAATGACTCACCGCACCGGTTTATATATATGGACCTTATCGTGTGTTGTAGGTTTCCTCTCGAAGAGTTGAAAGTAAAAAGACCACGTCTTACATTTATGGCAGATTTTCCAACATCATCATCAAATTAGGAACTGAACTTAGATGAATTGTTTGTGGAATTAAGATCAAGATTCAAGACTCAGGAGATTCAGTTCCGCCAAGCAACGGCACTTTCGA